GCAGTACACGTATCTGTGTGTGTGTGTGTGTATATATATATATATATATATATATATATATATATATATATATTTAGAATAAACACACACACAAAGAAAAACAAGTAGAATAGAAAAAATATATATATATATTTTTTTTTAATATATATTTTTTTATTAAAAAAAAGAAGATAAAGTAGAATAGAAAGTGATAGATTTAGAGGGTCAAATAAAGGTGGAACTGATGTGTTTTTAGTCGTTTCTTGAAGATGGCTAAGGACTCGGATTGAGTTGGGCAGGTCATTCCACCAGGAGGGAACAGTTAATGAAAAAGTCTGTGAAAGTGATTTTGTGCCTCTTTGAGATGGCACAATAATACGCCGTTCACTTGCAGAACGCAAGCTTCTAGAGGGCACATAACTCTGAAGTAATGATAATAAATGATCAATTATCAGTAATAATTTTACCGTGGATTCGTTTACAAACAAGGCACAATTCGACACAGGATTTTTAGAAAGATTGAAACTAAAAGACGAAGCTGTGCCGACTATATTGGATCCGATGTCGCACCACACAAGTGAGTAACTCTTCATTATGTGATCACTATTGCTTTGTCTGTTAAACAGATCGTTTGACATGAGTATTTTTGCATTTTTTACCTAAATCACAGCAGCATCTATCTATGAAGGATGCCGGCTGTCAAACATACAGAACTGTTAGCCAATCATAGCAGTGGGCGTTTCCTTTGAGTCTACAATCCGCCACACCTATTGAAACCGAGCGTTCTAAACGGGGTCAAAACAGGACAGAAAATAACCTATTCTAAATTATGATTGTTTTTAATGTAAAAATCTTGATAACATTATAAGTGGACCTCAGAGAACAGTACAAAATAAAAAACAAAGGCAGTTCATGACCCCTTTAAACAAATGTTTGCTTATAGATATTATGTAAGTTGTGCATTGTGTTTATATTGTATTAGGAATATTTTTCTTATTCTATTTCATGTATAATATTGCAACGTTTTAAACACGTGAGATTAATAACGTACTTGTCTCTGTGGATGATTAACAGTCTGATATTTCTCTAGCTCCATGTTCCTGCTGGTCATCGCTACTGCCTATCTGGAGGCCCAGGGAATATGGGAGCCTTTCAAACGACGGCTGTCTGTGGAATCCAACTCTCCCATGGAGACTGGAAAACCATTTGATCTCAGGGAAATTGTACGAATTCAAAGTGATGCTAAGTGAGTGATGATTTTGTTTTTTTTTTAATTTTATGTCCTTTTATAAAGAAGTGATTATTCTTATTTGATTCACATTTTATGTAAGATGCTTTACAAAATGCATTTGATCTGTTGCAGCTTGAATGATTTTGCCGACTCAAACCAGAACTCGACAAGAGGAATGTATGGGTCAAGCGGTGGCGGGAGGGCTGGGGGTCGGCAGGGTGGTCCTCCCTCCAGTTCCAACAGCAATGGTGTTCTGCCAGACAGTAAGCCCAAATCTGGTTCAGGCCGCTCTGGATCTATGCAACCCTCCTCCAGCTTTCCGCTCAATAAAGATAGTGGCCAAGGACTGAGCCAGCTAACTAATCGAAAGGCCCGGAGTTCCAAACAGCAGCAGCAGGGCTCAGGCCTCCTGGAGGACCTTCCAAGCTCAGGACCCTCACAGTCCAACAGCACAAGGGCCAACAGTACAGAGGAACAGGACTACAACCGACTTCTGGCAGCCATGGATAAAGACCACGACAGGCCTGAGTCTCCTGCCAATAACGTGTCTTCAGAACACAATTCACAACAGCCTTCACAAAACAAAGGTAATATATGACAATATATCAGCATAACAATATAAATTAATTTATCATACCAGATGTTTGACCCAGAGGTCAGTGTAAATTGCGAAATGCACAATAGAATTTCTGTTAATTTACTTATGTTTTTCAGTACTTGAATCAAAAGGGAAAGTGAAGAATAAAACAAAAGCTCTTAAAAAGAAAGAGGAGAAAGAGAGGAAAACAAAGGGAAAGACTCAAGGAGAAGATTTAAAAGAGCCACTGGCAGACAACGATGACAGCTCTTCTACTACCACAGAGACCTCTAACCCTGACGTGGAGGCCAATATTAAAGAGGTATACACGTGAAACATACTAGACCCACCAGAGTAATTCCCAAAACAAACTTGGTCGAAAATGTACATTCTAAATGCACTCTTTGACTACAATTTGTCGTCTTAACCAGGAGCCAGTGAAAGTGAAAGGAAAATCAGTGTCAGTGGACAGTGGAAAAGAAAGAGAAGAAATTACTCCCTCCCCCGCTAAACCAAAAACTAAGAAACAACCAACCACAAAGAAGGAGAATCAAATGGGAGCCTTTCAAACGACGGCTGTCTGTGGAATCCAACTCTCCCATGGAGACTGGAAAACCATTTGATCTCAGGGAAATTGTACGAATTCAAAGTGATGCTAAGTGAGTGATGATTTTTTTTATTTTTTTTATTTTATGTCCTTTTATAAAGAAGTGATTATTCTTATTTGATTCGCATTTTATGTAAGATGCTTTACAAAATGCATTTGATCTGTTGCAGCTTGAATGATTTTGCCGACTCAAACCAGAACTCGACAAGAGGAATGTATGGGTCAAGCGGTGGCGGGAGGGCTGGGGGTCGGCAGGGTGGTCCTCACTCCAGTTCCAACAGCAATGGTGTTCTGCCAGACAGTAAGCCCAAATCTGGTTCAGGCCGCTCTGGATCTATGCAACCCTCCTCCAGCTTTCCGCTCAATAAAGATAGTGGCCAAGGACTGAGCCAGCTAACTAATCGAAAGGCCCGGAGTTCCAAACAGCAGCAGCAGGGCTCAGGCCTCCTGGAGGACCTTCCAAGCTCAGGACCCTCACAGTCCAACAGCACAAGGGCCAACAGTACAGAGGAACAGGACTACAACCGACTTCTGGCAGCCATGGATAAAGACCACGACAGGCCTGAGTCTCCTGCCAATAACGTGTCTTCAGAACACAATTCACAACAGCCTTCACAAAACAAAGGTAATATATGACAATATATCAGCATAACAATATAGATTAATTTATCATACCAGATGTTTGACCCAGAGGTCAGTGTAAATTGCGAAATGCACAATAGAATTTCTGTTAATTTACTTATGTTTTTCAGTACTTGAATCAAAAGGGAAAGTGAAGAATAAAACAAAAGCTCTTAAAAAGAAAGAGGAGAAAGAGAGGAAAACAAAGGGAAAGACTCAAGGAGAAGATTTAAAAGAGCCACTGGCAGACAACGATGACAGCTCTTCTACTACCACAGAGACCTCCAACCCAGACATGGAGGCCAATATTAAAGAGGTACATACACGTGAAACATGCTAGACCCACCAGAGAAAATCCCAAAACAAACTTGCTCTAAAATGTACATTCTAAATGCACCGTCTGACTATAATTTGTCTTATTAACCAGGAGCCAGTGAAGGTGAAAGGAAAATCTGTGTCAGTGGACAATGGAAAAGAAAGAGAAGAAATTACTCCCTCCCCCGCTAAACCAAAAACTAAGAAACAACCAACCACAAAGAAGGAGAATCAACTGGAAAAATCCAGGTTTGTTCAGAGCTGTCACTGAAGGTGACGTGTGATTTCTGTGTCACTAGGCCCCCGATACTGATGGTGAAGAGGTAGGATATGTCTGCATTGCCATGTGCCACTCTGTTGGCAGCTGTGCTTAGATTCATATTTTAATATGTGCTGCACGCTATCCTCTCAATAATACAACAAACACACCACAATAATGACAGCAGTGAGAAAAGAGCAGTTAGGAAAGCATCTGATCATAGGGATGTGGATATGTTTTCACCAGCTCTGCAATTCAGCACTCCAGTCAAGTCTTGTTTACTTGTGTATAGTGCTTTAATAAAAATGGCTTAAACTGCTTTACAGTATTAAACAAAACAAAAAAAAAGAGTCAGTATCGCAAAGTTCAACTTCAATTTCAACTATACAGTATTTTTCCAGTGCATTCACAACTTCGCTGTAAAGAATATATTTTATGTCAAATAAAGTGGAGCCCCAGAGCACATCAACCTATTATGTAAACATCATGGACCAATGGCAGTTTGACACAGTTCAACAGCTAATAAGAGACAGGAAATTCATGCTCTTGAGCTATTTCGAAATGCCAAATTAGACTCCAAATGAACTTTGGACACGTTTTGTTCAAAAATGCAGCACACCTGTTTGTTCTTCAAGAGGGGTCTCAAATTTAATTTGAGTGACCCGAGGTGCTTCTAGTGACACAGAAATGACGTGCTTCATCTTGAAGGACTTGAGGTTTCCAGTGAACCATTCTAGAATGGTTAATCATCACTTTGCATCAGACTTGCATAGGTGATCTTCACCATCTCCATCATTACTCTCACTCTGAATCTTTTTTTAATATCAGTGTCTTAATTTTTTTCTATACAGCTCCCTAGAACTCCCTTACGTCACTCCCCTGGAAAAACAGGATAAGCAGCGCAAGACCTTCACCAAAACCCTCGCCAATACAGGAATTCACAGTGTCCCCAAACCACGAGCTCTGAGCAAAAGTAAGTGTCAGATTTCAGCTTTTCCACCCAACTTTTGAATCCCTGTTAACTCTAGAAACCATTTTTAAACCACTTTTATTCTGTCTGCCTGAGTAGTCAGTGGGAAGATGGGTGATGATCGGCCATCTCCGCTTGGAAAGTTTGTAGTCAATGGCTCCATGCAGGAATTGGGTCATAGCAGCGGATCAGAAGGAGAGAAAGAGTCCCCACCAGAATGGGATGTTCCTCTTAAAACTAGCAACCGTAAGCAAAGAATCTGGAAGCATAACCTGTACTCCATTACGAGTCAGTTTGTTACTTTATGTACTCTTATCTAAGTATCTAAATATTTGTGTCATACATTTTATTAGCAGTGGACAGTCTTCAACAGATATCTATGCAGACCATGCATGCAGACCCCTTCCTGAAAGGCTCCAGTTCAGTCATGTCCAGAGCCTGTTCACCACCCCCGACCTCTCCTAGCCTGGTGCCTCGTGGAAGCTACGGCAGTGTGCTCCACACCAGCAGGTAACTTTAATGGGCGTGTACTTTGAAGTGCACGTAATAATAGAACACATTTGGGTAGGGCCTAAAATAACACTTTGCAAGTGCCAAATGTGAATAACAATCAGCATTGGCGAGTATATGAAAAAAATGTTACTCCCCAGTTGGCTGGTAATTACTTTTTTCATTAATTTTTACAATGCCTGAGAACACGACTATGGAACGATATTCCAGACAATTTTCAAAAGGAATAGCAAATTGTATTTTCAATTGCGTTTTCCATATGTGGACGCATAAATTGTGACAATCCAAATGCAATTGCAAATCCTGCATTACCGTTTGCATTTGCGCTTTCGCGAACGCACAGCGACGGCCAAATTTCAAATGAAAAAGCAAAGTCCATTTGCAGCTGTATTTCCCATGTCTTAGGAGTTACGAGCCTGTCATATTTAAATAGCAATATTAATTACCACGTCTGCTTTTTCACTCTCGCTGCGTCGCGCATGTAACCTGCCAAAACTCAAATGGAATCACAATTCCTTTTGCATTTGAATTTCCAATGTCTACACGGAAAGCTGTCAATCAATGTGAGGGGGCGGGGCTATACTAGGGGGCGTGTTTGTATTTGGAGGTGATGTCACTCACAGACGACCGTGCCGAATGCTCTGATCAGTGGAGGTAATCGGTAAAGGCTCTGTTAAGGCAGCTACCAATCAGTTTCGTACCTGTGTTAATGAACAGAAAGTGCAACCTTCTTGGCACAATACATAATTCTGTCTTTTTTACCCCAAATATAGTGATTATCCCCTGCTAACAGCGGGAGCCACAACAGTACGCACAATAGGTCAATATTCACTATTAACCAAACGCTTTTGACCTGTCTCAGCATCTCTCACTGTTTACACTCACTCACACTTTGAATCCGGTATAAAACTGATTGGTAGCTGCCTTTAGCGGAGCCTTTACCGATTACCTCCACTGATCAGAGCATTCGGCACGGTCGTCTGTGAGTGACGTCACCTCCCAATACAAACACGTCCCCTAGTATAGCTCCGCCCCCTCACATTGATTGACAGCTTTCCGTGTAGACATTGGAAATTCAAATGCAAAAGGAATTGCGTTTCCATTTGAGTTTTGGCAGGTTACATGCGCGACGCAGCGAGAGTGAAAAAGCAGAC